TATACTGGTCTGGAGTTACCTGTCATTTAAATCTTGATTTCTAGACAAACTGTATAATTTAACCTAAGAGAGAGTGCCTGTAAATTAAATTCATGTATGCTTTTTAAATGGACAACAGGAGGAACAGAGCAGTTACAATATGGTGTCAGAAAGGTTGTAATATGCTTTTCCTATCTGAATGGATGCATGATTTGTGTATACAGTAGATGTTCCGTATTTACAACATGCATAGTAAGGCACATATTGACATGTGTTGTCCTAGGAAGAAGAGAACATTTATTCTCATAGCTCAATTGGGTTTTTTCATGATATAAAATGAACTTTTTTCTTTTTATTCCTTCTTTGACAATGTATAGGTACTGCAGACTTTGAGTTTTGAAAAATAAGTCCTTGTAAAAAAGGGTTCAGCAAACCATATACGTGTACAATGCCACATTTATAAAGGTCACCAACCTTCTAGGTAAATTTTTGCAGGGCATCAATTATTCCTTTACAGTTCAGCAAAACTGACAAATGTTTACCTGCCAATTAATTCCTGAGTACATCCTCTGGTGAAATTAGTCTCTCTGTGATATATCCACTTCAGAAAGCTTCAACCACTACTGGGCAAATGACCATCATAGAATAAATGGGGTCGTGGGCTTACTGCATTGGTAGATGGAGATGACCACATTTGTGAGTGACATCTATGACAGTTTATTGTCACTGTGGTCAGAGTGTAGCATGCAAGTGCCTAAGTATTTTGGGGATAATTATTACAAATATGTCATCCTTGTAATTAATTTAACCTGCACTCTGTGAATTTGTTCAGACTACTGGAATATAAATATGTTCAAACTACTGGAATTAAACATTTATGAAGGTGAAGTGATTTGTGTTTTAGTAAACAGGCAGCAACAGCAATCAGGTGGTTATAGGAAAGTGAGTGAATATATTTCCAGTTTAATGTTCCTATCACAGCTGACCAAATAAAGTGCTTCTCTCCTGTAGAGAAAGTAGAGTCAGCCATTCCTAAAGCTAATCCAATATGCATAAGAATTTGGCCTATTCTATTTTGCTGGAATCGGAGGCAATTCAGGTCAAATATACACAGACCTTTTTTTTATATAAAATAACAAAAAACACCCCTTTAGAAATGTTTATTAATGACAATCTACAAATACATACTTCTAAATAATTGCAGGCTTTCTATTCTTTGCATATCTTATTTCTCTTTTTTTCCCCTCCAGTCTTCTGACAGTGGTTCCCAGAGGCAGATGCATGTTGGGATTTGTAGTTTTGGCACAGCTGGAGTGCCAAGGTTCGCCACCACTGGAACAGGACATCATCTCAGTGGAGGAAAATGCCTTTACCTGAGATCTCGTGAGATTACAGATGAGATTTCTCAGCAATGCTCTGCTGATGGCAAGGCAATCCCAGTGTGCATTGCTTTGCCAAACTGAAGTAATTTTGCCCTTTCTAAGCTGGAAGTGAATGCTCTGCAAGTGTAAGTATTTCAAAATAACAGCATTTTACACCAGACATGTCTGTTGTTATTAATCATCATACATAGAGGGATGCATTGGTAGAATTTGATTTTTGAGTGTAAAGGTCCGCTTTAAAGCATGCATTGCTTCCTCGCATTCACATTTGTAGAGATGTGGTATATACTCTCATTTGCTTCCATATAATGCAAGCAAGTTGAAGCTCTTGGCTTTCCAGCATTCACGTCAAACCTTTGCGTGGTCTCATCAGTGTTTTAGGTGCCTTCTCTTATCTCTTTGACATCAGCACAATGTGTTTCAGATCCCCCTCTGACCTTCACCATACAGAGTGTGGATCTGGTTTTATTGCCAGCAATCTGTGTGCATACGGTAGATGTAGAATTAATGCATGTATTGTCATGTCACACCCCTCTCTGACCTTTAAATTATCAGTCATTCTCCAAAGGGCTAAAACCTAAATCTGTTACATTTTAACTGATCTTATTAAAAAAAACATGTATGTTCTAAATTAATATCTTGTTAATGTGTTATAAAATGCATTAATACCTTGCTATTGTTTCCACGCTACTACCCGTTATTCTAATAAAACGACAAACTAAATAAGCTATAATTTTTAGATTACACAGCGAATTAAAAAAAAAAAAGCAAGTGAAATGCATTGTTTTAGCTTTCAGTGATTAGATATTCTTGGTACTCTAGTTTTATTAAAATAGCAATGTATTTAAGATAAAACACATCAAACATTGTGAGTTAATGCTTCTTATAAACAGACTTTAACTGTGGTGTTTTATATAAAAAAATTCTCATGCTGATTGAGAAATTGCAAAGCACTGAGATATTCTTTCATCCTTCTGTGCTACATTCATTTTGTAGGCTGTTGATTTGACGGGGTGACCTGATATGGGTCATTTGCTCTGGTGTAGGTCAGTGACTTCATTAGTTTTTGTTCATTGGGTTTTTTTTGTAAACTAATAGTTCTTATCGTTTTGGCACTACCTTTTTTTATGTAAAATGGTCATTGGTTTTAAAATCTAAATTTGAAAGAATTATTTATGCCGTTTTATTTTTTTAATTTCAATTATTTTTTTAATTGACAGAGTAAAAACTTCTGTCAAGTTTTCATTGCTGCCTGTGACCCCATTTGGGAGATTTTGCTCACTTCTTGTGACTGTGACAGTAGGGCAGTCAGTGATGGAGCGGTGGTCACTGGGATAGGAAAACACACAGTAATATCCTGACAGACATTCCCAAATGACAAGATTTCCCAGCACTTATGGTTCTGACAAGTGGTTGGTGATGGTTCTCCTAAATAGGAACACAGACCAAAAATAAAAACCTTGCAGAGGTTCTATCCCTTCCCCACTCCATATAAAAGGGAAAAAAGGCATTTTAAAAGGTATTTATGATATCTAGGATTTGGGTGGGTGCCAGTAAATCTAAACACATATGTTTTGTGCTTAATTAGCGAAATCTCAGTCTGCCCAGCTGCTACAGCCAGCCATTACTGGGAGTGGTTTTCATGTTTCTTGCTTCTAGAGAAATATTCAACCTTCTATGCTCAGCGTGTGTGTGTGTGTGTGTGTTCTACACACACAAAGCTATTGCATTGGGAGATGTACACAACATGTTTACCTACCTCCCGGCCAACCGTTGTGTATACACGGCCGGCCGGGAGCTTCTTGGATGTAACTGGGCCTGTATACACGTCCTGTTATATCTGCCCGCTCGGGCGGGAAATGCCCGTGATTTGAAAACAGGCAGCGATGCCCGTTAATATAGAGCCGGCGGATCGCTTGTATGAGGACCCGTGACGTGCGGCTCCCCCCTTCCCGCTGTAAAGCTGGTCCCGGGCTCCGGTGTGAGCCCGGGACCAGCAATACTGCCTCTGTCACAGAGGATCAGAGGGAGGTCGGTTCACGACCTCCCTCCGGTCCCCTTATGCTGTCAGAATGCGGAAGTGGTGTGTATTACATCACTTCCTCATTCTCGTGTCACTCTCCAGCTTCAGATGCTGGAGAGAAGCTGATGAAGCAGATCTCTGCTTCATCAGCTTCTTCAGGGGGTCCAAGGTGACAGGGGTCTTGGAGACCCCTGATGTCTCCATAAAGAGGACCTGACACCTCTTTTGCTATCACATAGAGGGGTTTCTCAGCCCCCTCTGTGATAGCAATAAAGTTAAATTTAAATTTTCCCCCTAATTTTTTTAAAGTTACAAATAAAAAAGAATTAAAACAATTTTTTTAAAGTCCCCACCCATACATACACAGATGTAAAAAAAATGGTATAAAATTAATTTCAGTACAGGGCTGCATGACGGAATAAATGTCAGTCAAAGTACTGCAGCGCTGAACACTGAAAAATGGTATGGGCAGGAAGGGGGGTCTAAACACCTGGTCTTCAAGCGGTTAAGAGCAGGATGAGCTTAGCTGCTCAAATTAAAGTGAATATATGATCTGCTGTGAGAGGCCTCCCCCCAACCCCCTTGGGTTACCTGCTTTTTTTGGTACCTAGAAGAGAAAAGTAAGTGTGGAGAGATGGATGAATGTGTGTTCCTCTATCGCTCCTGCACAGTTTGAAACCGGAAATGCTCAGTTCTGAGCGCTTCTGGGTCAGGATTGCCAGTTAAAGGAGCAGATTAGGGAAACGGTGCATGGGAGACATCAGGGGTCACTCTCCTTGGCACATGCATACATACAAAAAAGGGTGCATATACATAAATGACAATCCATATTGGGCATCACCCTGCATGAATAATTTTAGTTCCATTATTTACAGCCAACTCTGCATTGAAGAGCTGGTAAGGTTCTTAAAATGTTGCATTTGCGAGGCTTGACATATTTGGTATCTATATACTCAAAATCTCCTTTTTATATTTTACAGAACATTTTTAATTTGTGTTAATGGTACTAAAATTGTTTTTATTGCAATTTTTACAAACAATATTCATTCAACAGGTGCTCAAATATAATGCAACATGAAAAAAAAATTGCAGCAATTATTTTATTAAGGTGTAAAAAAAAATAAAAAAATATGGTCCAGCAGGGAAAATATTGTTTACTTCTCGCTAAGATTGTGTAAATATAGACATGTCCAAAGCCTGGCCACAGTTCTACTTTAACATAGCTGTAAACCCAATCCGTAAAAGAGCATACAAGCTTTAATATGCTATGAAGATTCTTGTTCAGACACTGCTTGTTAGGGGGCCAACTGTCTCCCAGTGCGGTGTTGTAACCAATGATGCGCAGCCAACACTGGAGCAAGTGCATGTACAGCACAAGTGCCTGAAAGAGGCTGTAGGAGATCGTCCGCAAAATGTAAAAACATCAAATAAAATGTGAAAACAATATTTTGTCTGAACAAAATGGCTATTGCATGAAACACAGCTCCAATGAACTGAATGTCCTTTGGTTAGGTTTTAGATCTACTTTACAGGCTGTTATACACCTGGTTTTGAGCTATTAGTCAATTTTCTACAATATAATATATGTAACCTGTGAACTGTTCTTAATTCATTAGGCATTGAATGTCCAAGAGGTGCCAGGAATGCCCCTGGTGGAGTTCAGGAAGGCGAGCCATTCAGCGAGGATGCTACAATGTACACGAAGGAACTAGTATTGCAGCGAGAGGTAGGACAATCACTCATCCCAGTCTAGTTAATTTCTGTATTCTTGGTTCAACCCCTCTGTGGGAGGTTTTCAATTTGATATACGCTTGTTGCATATACTGTACATTGCACAACCATATGATGTGCATGAGTTCTTAATTTTGTGTTATGAGGTACAATAAAGGCTGTAAACGCTTCTGTAGCTCCATAAACAAATATCAAAGTGCAATGCTACAAGTTCAGACAGCTTGTGCAAATACAAGTAAATGTATTTTCCAGGGTAACACTGTAAAAGCAGTTGTTGGTTGGGTGACTTTGGACTGCTTTGACTTGTTACTAGTGCTGCCTTCTGTTCTGTGAAAAAACCTTGCCTGCACTGCATAGATGGTAATTTATTGAAAGTGGAGTACCCGTAGCAACCAATCAGCTTCTCTCTCCAGTTTATTTAGTTAAGCTTTGAAAAATTAGACATAGAAGCTGATTGGTTGCCACGGACAACTGCTCCAGATTCTGTCTGCTTCTGTTTTGATATATTTCCCTGTTTTGATATATTTCCCCCATAGTGTATATATACTCCCCTACAAACGGCAAAACACAGACAACATACAGCACCATTTGTGATCATAATACCACCCGTAATAGTGGCAGTGGGAAAAATTGCTACATTCGAAGTGTGCCACTGGGAGAATACATTTAGCTAGTGACCTCATCTTATCACTCTGATATGATTCACTACAGATCTTGGCGTGTATGTAAATTGAAGAAAAAAGAAAGCTAAACTGTCCGTGTCTAGAATGTGTGTTTCTGCTACCCTCAAAACTGCAAATAAATAGGGGCCCACTTGCTTTTATAATGACTGTCAACACTCGCTAATGGTCCTAAAATTGCACATGACCTTTTGTTTGAAATGCAATGCATTGTGCTGCTCTACCATGCATTGATGTGCATTGTGGCATGCTGTGATGCATTTGTAGTGTCTTGGTGTGCCATTCAAACTGAATGGCAGAGCAGCAACATGTTACTTGCCTTACTGCTCTTTGCAGTAATGTGTAAATCTGGCCTTAATCTTAAGTATAGTCAAAAATCTATCCGGTCATACTCATTGTGGGGAGCTTTGCCCCCTCCCACCTCTTCTTTACCACCAGCATGAGAACAGTTGAGGCTTGTGACATTTATAAGGTAATACATAGAATGTATTCTGTGAGGAGATTTGTATGATTGTCCTCTTGTTTAAAAAGAAAAAAATAATAATCAACAGAATTATGCAGTGCATACCTCTTCTACAGCACTAGAATTATAGTTAAGTGAGAACGACAAGGTTTTATTGCAGTCACATTTGGCAGGTTGAATGTTCTTCCTAATTCTCGGATCCATGCTTCATGTTGCTACACTGATTTTTTTTTGTTTTTTGTTTTTAATGCATACAGGTTTATATACCATGAAATATAGCTGAAAGTGTTGCTGGTTTTCTATGTGAAATAAAAATGTATCTAGAAGGAACATTCAAGGTAGCTTTACATTGTTCATGAGCTGTGGACACATTGTGTGAAGTATAGCACAGGGTGTGAGGTCGTAATGGTTATTGCAGTACAGTCAATAGCATTGATTTGTCTGAAGGTTAGAAATAACTGCATCCTACGTATGCTTTCAGAATGTTCATAAAACATTGGTTTGTGTTTAAAAATGGCAGGCTTAGATGGCAGGAGTTCAGTATATGGTTTGTACATTCTCAAGGTTGTTTTGAAGTGCCCAAATAATCTAATACTCAATGTTTAGGAGTGTATGGCCATTAGCTTTTTGTTCCTTACTGTATTCTGTAATAAGTGCCTTGAAAAACACAGTAAATAAAGATTTGTATGCAGGTTATTCTCATCCATATTTAGCCGCCCTCCTCTTTTAACTTTATTCATGTTTCTTCTTTCTTTATTAATCCCTGCTCTTTTCTTAAGTTCTCCTCCTCTCCTTTGTATTTTCCTCTGTGTCTTCAATGTTTGTCTCCTGTGAGCAGTTACATTCAGCATGTAGAGATGTCCTGATCTGACGGATCTTTCAAGGTCCTGAGGTGTTACGGGAGGAGTCGATAGAGCTTCTCGCTGTTTTAGGCAGAAGCTAATTAGTCACAAGCTAATTTTGTAGACTGTTTAATGCCAGAGCATTGCCCGACACTTTTTTCCCTACTGCTCACGTCAGCAAGAGTTGTAGTTGTAGGGCAGATAATCAGCCCTTTTTTTTTTCTCCCTGGACTTTGCATTATGTGACTTTAGCAGTAATAGAGGAAAGTGGTGCTATATGTTCCTTTCACATTATCTTTTGAGGCAACTTGGCAAAGATTAAAGTAGTATTAACCCCTTCGTGACTGACGACGTACAGTGTACGTCGCCAGCATCGGGGCTGTTTAAACAGACTCCCGGCGACTTTTGCCGCCGGGACTCTGTTTAAACTTGTAGAGCCGACTGTCGGCTTTACAACAGAAGCGATCCTGGCGACTTACCTGTCGCCAGATCGCTTCTGCGTCCCGAAGAAGGGGCCGCCCCCCCTCAAAGGCAGTCAAGGTGGGCGACAGACGGACTGGTTGGGGTAAAGAATTCCAGAGGATGGGAGAGACTCTATAGAAATCCTGGAGGGCGAGCATGGGAGGAGTTGACAATGGAGCTGGAAAGAAGGAGGTCTTGGGATGAGCGGAGGCAACGGTTAGGGTGATACTTTGAGACCAGGTTTGAGATATAGCCGGGGGTGGAGTTGTGGATGACTTTGTAACTGATTGTTAATATTTTGAATTTTATTTTTTGGGCGAGTGGAAGCCAGTGTAGGGATTGACAGGGGGGTTGCAGACACTGAGCGGTTGGTTAGGTGAATGAGTCTGGCAGCTGCATTCATGATAGACTGAAGGGGGGATAGCCTGTGTAGTGGAGGGCAAATGAGGAGGGAGTTGCAATAGTTAAGACGAGATATAACAAGCGCGTGGATGAGGTAATTTTGCGGTTTATTTGGTGAGGAAGGGGTGTATTTTGGAGATGTTACAAAGGTGAAGGCGGCAGGATTTGGATAGTGATTGGATGTGGGGAAGAAAGGTGAGGTCCGAGTCAAGGATGACACCTAGGACCTTGGCATCGGAGGAGGGGGGGTCGATAGTTGTGTTAACAATCTCAAGGGGAAAGTTGGGGGAAGGTGCACGGGGAGGAGGAAATATCAAGAGCTCAGCTTTTGAACGATTGAGTTTTAAGAAGTGTTGCGACATCCAGACGGATATGTCAATTAGTAGATTAGTGACACGAGAGGACACAGGCCTGGCTGCTATTGTCAGTCACCGCCCTGAAGCAAGTATGCAGATTAGGGACTTTGGGTCCAAGTTCTTGTGATTAGAATCCTAGCCAGGCAAATGGCAATTTCAGTAGTGGTCAGCAATGGCAACCTTCATGGTTTTTCTTACATGTACCCTTTAAACACCAACAATAGAGACTAATTGGGATATTTCAGAACCTAACCTTTAACTTTGCACTGAGTTTAGAGGAATCTGTTCTACACTTTGACCTTTTCAATGCACCTGAGAGATGAAAACGAACAGTTTTTTGTTTTGTTTTTTGTTTTGTATGAAAATGTGTAAATTATTCCTCCAGAAACATTACACAGACTGGTAGTTACAGGTGAAGTCTTTAACCACTTGCCGTCCGCCCGTTGTAAAAAACGGACGGCACTGCTGCATTGGCGGGTTGCATTTTTTTTCTGCTCTCGCGTGCGCCCCCTAGCGGGCCCGCACGGGCAGAAAAAACCCGACCAATGCAAACACCAGTTTCCGGGTCCTAGAGACCCCTAATGTCTCCATAAAGAGGACCTGTCCGTGTGCCTTTGCTATTATATAGGGGGATTGTTATCCCCCTATATAATGGCAATAACAAGTGCAAAAAAAATATATATAAATACAAAAAAATAAAAGTAACATATAAAAAAGTAAAATAAAATAAACGTCACATATAAAAAAAGTGAAAAAAAAACCCAAAATGTTTAACTCTTACGCACCTATAAACGTAAATACGCGCCCGGTGCCCCAGCGCGCAACAACGACAATTGCGCTACACATGTTACATATCGCCGCGAACGTCGCAGTGAGAGCAATCATTTTAGGGCCATCAATCACTGATAACACTAAACTGATGAGCGGTAACAGCCTTTAATGCGTCGCCTATGGCCAATTTCGGGGTATTATCGTTTCTTGAGGTTTCGCGCGCACACGCAATTTTACGGCTTGACATGTCTGGTGTCTTTTTACCCGACGTGACCCCGTCTTTTATATTTTACCACAAAATTGGGTAATAATAAATGTTTTATCATTTAATATAGGGGAAACTGTTTTTT